CTTCGAGCATACAATTTAATACACGTATAAAATAATAACGATTAATAAAAATTGACATAAATACAAAAGGCAAGGAATATCAATTTACTACAGTATTAAAGATTAATGCAAAAATAATGTTGCAATTTTTTCAATGATTAAATTATGTCACATTCATTCAAAATGCTAACATTGAATGATCCGTATTACAATTAAAAAAATAATTTTTCTTAGAAATAGTTTATCCGTGACTGTGACAAGAATTCTATCTGTTTGCCTACATGACAATAACAAAAAATAATATTTTGACTAATCATAACTTATTTAGTCACTAATTATGATGTATTTTATTCGCCGATTATTGTAACTATAAAAAATTAATCAATAACAATTGAAAATTTTTAAATTGCGATTTTGTTGACTGTCGTTATTGTTATTTGAAAAATTGCATAGACACTTATCTTGTAATTTTTTATGCTCTTTCGATTAAAATTGGTTCCATTAAAAAGTAAATAATAATTTTTAAGTTATAGATTTTTTTTTAATAAAAAAAGAAATGTATATTCACAAGTTTTATAAATATTTAAATAGAGGTATTTTTCATCATTTTTTATGTTGTTATAAACGTATACAAAGAGTACAGAAATATTTCTGTTCAACAATAAATTTTAGACTGTCGTAGTAATTTTCGAGTCATCTCAAGTAATTCTTGTGTTAAGACACCTTTTGACTCCCAAGTTTACTTACAAGAACTTAAAATTTACTATTAGAAAGAAATTTGTTGACTTCTAAATTTCGAAACGTGGGCTTGTTATATTTGCACTTATGTTCAGTAAAAAAATTTCGTCCTTTAATAGTTAACTCTGTAACTATTAATTACTCATTAATAATAAAGAGGAAGATGTTTGTTTATATCCAAATATTACAAGTAATGAATATATGTGTATCGTATAAAATTCATAATGAAACTGTTGATATATTGAGCGTACGATGGAATTATATTTCCCAGAAATAAAATATCTAAAAGATGATTCCCTCAACTATTTTCCGAAACCCTTTCTATTTTAATGAAATCTTAGGAAAACTCAAAGAAAAATAACTTTAATAAAAATCGTTAACCTCAATCCTTAAGTTTTATTGCTATTCATTCTTAGCTTCTCTTAAGATATATTTTAAATAATTATGTGAAATAATTAAAATACATTCAGACATTACAAATATAAATCTGTTATAAAAAATTAAAAATGTATGAATGAATTCCCTTATGCATGTATCGCACTGATTTGAATACTATTGGCGTAAAAATATTTCCGATGAAATAAAACTCTAAACAAATTCACTTTATTTATAACAATATGAATTTGGTATAAACACTTGGAGATTGTATTTATCAATTGATTAATGCGTATATTGACTGTTCCATTTGGAGACACAATTATATATAACCGAATACAGGCAAACTAGACATGAAGCAACACAATCTGTAACACAACTCGACACTGTGTCAAGTTGTATTCCTAAATGGAAAGCACCCACCAACCAAAAAATGTTTTTTGCGACGAGATATGACTTTCTACAATTACCTATTGTTTATAACAATTGGAATGTGTTATAAACAATTAACGATGGGAAATACGTCATGGTAGCACAAACCATGTGTGCTAAGACCTATTTTAAAATTTTCTTTTATTGTTAGAAAGGTACAAAGATTTGTTACGAATGATGACAATGATTTCATTGTTTTTACTATCCTTCACGTGGTGTTCTCTTCATTTCCTCCTCTTTTGGACTTAAAATATTTTATCTTTACAAATATAAAATCAAAGTGTCTGTATGTAATTTGGAAAAAAAGTCTTAAATTAATCTTGTTGTATTCCAACGAGATATTTTTAGGTCATTTTTAATTTACAAAACAATTGTATTCTAACTATATTATTCGTTATTTAATATTCAATATAGGTTTGAAGTAAGGTAATTTTTAAAAGAGATTTAGAATAGACGAGTTTTTAATCTTTTTTGTATTAATAATAGTTTTGTTCATAATATTATTATTAATATTGGTAAATAATCAGATTTTCCTACAATCTACTAGGATTATTCGAAAACGGCTGAACCGATTACGATGAAACTTTGTAGACATAAAAATGAGGATTTCAGGAGTAACATAAGCTACTTTTTGATTATGTCCATTATTTATACCAATTGCATTTGTTATGAACAATTAAAAAAGGGATCTACGTAATATATTCGAGCTCTTCCAAAGAGTAATTTTTTCATTTACTTAGAAAAAATAACTAATGATTGTTCGCTAATTGTAACGAAATGAATTTCTTATTGGCCTAATTTATAAGATTTTTGTCCTCAAATTTTCTATCGATAGAAAAAGTTACGAAAATTAGGCCAAGTCTTATGAAATTTTTTTTTAACTAACTTCTTTTCCATATTAAGTAAAAATTAATTGAAAATAAAAAATTCATTGTAAATTTGCATCAGCAAAATTACTTTTTTAATTATTTAATGATAATTCAAAAAAGTATTTTCTTACACTATTCATCGGAATTAGAAAAAAAAAACTTAATTTTATGGATGACATGGCATTCTATTTGATTTTAAATCTTTCTGCTGTTTTAAAGTTCTTCTAATTAATGCTTGAAAAATGTTGTCATGTTGTCACAATTTCATCATTTGTAGAGTCATTTGGGACGTCTACATGGCACCGAGTTTTCTTGACATCCGATGACGGCAGTTTTGGTCGAATTTCAATTCTTTTTGTAATTTTATATAACACTAGCTCATGTTCATAATTTCGTCCAAGCTAGTGTTCAGTACTTGACATATATATCGTCCCAAGCAACTGAAAAAATGGATGCTTGTTTTCAATGTATTGCTGAAAAGTTCATTAGCTGAAACGTTGAACTATTCGCTATAATGCTTCTAACTATATTAATAAATCATTTACAGCTAGTGAATTTATTTTTTGTGCCATTTTATCTTTTTAGTTATCGAGATTATATGAATGTTTTTATTAAATTACATAATCGTACTCTAGTAGCGAAATCAACATAAGAATGGCAGCAGATTGACATACGATGGTCTAAGTTTGTCATTCACGGATGTATCAGCCGTTTTTCTAAAACAGACAGACGCAATATTTTTGTCGGGAAATTCAATATCAGAAATAAATAGCGATTTAACTAAAAAAAGAAAAAGGTGGACGTAAGTCTGACGAAAATTATGAAAGTTCTATGATCTAGACACTTGGAATATTTTCGATTGAATATGATATACAATTTAAAAAGAAGAAAAACTTGCTCACACGGCCCGGATGCTTTTTGAACGTGATGAAAAATGACCGGTATCTGAGACTTCGGTAACAAATGTATAATTTACCTTACTATGTTGCGGTTGTTACTTTGAGAAATATCAAAGAAGAATATTAATTATCGTTAATTTTACCCATCAGATAGAACTACAATAAATGTGCGATAAGCACGCAACGTGCAGAGAGCTAAACGTTGCTTATATATTGTAAAATAAGACCAAATAATAACTTCAGTAAATTAATAAATAACGGGAAAGTTTATTAAAGATTGACAGCTATTAATTAAATAGAAAGAATACGTCCGGTTAATTCAAGTTTTAATCAAAAACGGGAGATGAACAAACTCTCCCCTCGTTGCTATAAACAATCTAATCGTCAAGCAAACGTCGTTAACTAACAAACTGTCGTTAGTCTAATAGTCATAAGATGGCGACATACAAATATTTTACAATATTCATAAACACTTACATAATTAAATGTCATCTCAAAATATACTGGCATACATCTGCGACAAAGTCACGAAGATAGTATATTTTCAAGATCAAGTTGAACTGTTTACAAACATATTATTATCTAACTGAACATATGTCAACAAAAAAAATCAGGATTTCATCGTAAGAATCAGTTTTTAATTATGTATAAAAAATGTACTGGTTATGAACAGGAAAAGTCAATTTTCATTTATATTACAGAATTAATAACTTCGTTCAGTAGAAGAAGAAATTTCCCATTAAAAGAACTTTAATTCATTGCATCGATCCCGTTTTCAATTGTTCATAAAAAATTTGATTCTTATGAATGACAAGGGTTCGCTTCTGTTCATGTGACGTGGTTAGTACTTCTTTTCTAGCAAAAGGAAAAATTTGATATTGACTTAATCAATTGCAGAATTCTTATTTTTTACTAATAATTTAAAAAATTTTTAAGCTGCAACAAAGTTTAAAATCGAATCGAGTGCTATGTCATCTATAAAATCATGTCTTCTTTTTCTTTCATTTTGATGAACTGTGAAAGAAAATACTTTTTTGAATTTTCTATCAATAATTTAAAAATTAATTTTGTAGATGAAAATTTAAGATGAATTTTTTGTGCAATCAATTCTGATTCAATTTGAGAAAGTAGTTAAAAAAAATTTCATACGACGTGGCCTAATTTTTGTAATGTTCTCTATTGGTAGAAATTTTTCAGACATTATTCTAATAAAAAAATTAATTTTAAACATTCTTTGCATGTCGAACAATTTGAAAATATCGGACTTTCAAACAACAGTGACGTGGCACCGTTTTTTATTATAGATATCGGATGATAGCTGTTTTTGGTAGTACATTATTTTTAAGAAATTTAAAATGAATCGAATGAATGAAAATTGATATTATTAGTAATGCATTTTCATTGTCTGATTTTCTGGGTATATTATTATTCTTCCGCATTATTATCTTTAAGTGTGTAATCTGGCTCCTGATACATATTCTTCAAACATTGTAGATGCATTGCTCTTTACTACTATGTTTTCCATACACACATATAACGTTTTTTATAAATAAAACATTCGATACGTTTTAATATCACATATCGCGGTTTTAACGCATCTTATTTTTCCTCGTTACAAATTTTCGCCTGTTATTTTCAAATTCGACATGGTATATTGTAACTTTATTTATTTGTACAAAATAAGGATGATTTCAATTTTTTGATTAAGAAAACTGACGTCACATGCGAACTCGTTGAAGAGCTGCAAACAAAAACTAAAGAGTTTTTACAACCAAATCCAACTGCCAGAGCGAAAATGGCTGCTGTGAAAGGAATAAGTAAACTCAGTGGACAAGCAAAAGCTTCAACTTATCCACAACCAGAAGGCGTTCTTGGCGACTGCATGCTTACTTATGGTAAACGAATGGGAGATGACAGTGTTTTCGGTAAGTTCTATGAATGTAATGTTAAGGTTAACATGCTAAGAAAAATTTATTTTGTTAATAATAAGCATCGACTTTCCTTCTTATTGTATTATCTATTTTATTAGCTCAAGCTTTAATTGAAATGGGTGAAGCAATGAAACAAATGGCTGATGTTAAATACTCACTTGATGACAATATAAAACAGAACTTTTTAGAACCCTTACACCATTTACAAACCAAGGATTTAAAAGAAGTTATGGTAATAATTATGTATTTAAATCAGTGTTAGAAAATCATTTATCTCAAAGATTAGAATTGTGGTCTAGGTATGACCTAAAAGGTTCACGTAACGAACTTCCCAGTGGAAAGAATAAAAATACTGTATATTCTATGTGCCATTAGTTATTAATTTATTATGATGAAGTAAGCATAAGAAGAATAGTCGAATGAATAGCTTTGAATCTTTCGTACAATTCCTCAAGTTCAATTTTTAACAATATTGATAATACAAGATAACCTTATTTAAAATTAATGAGTTATTATGTTATTACGTTAATTTTAGATTTTTTTTTGAGTACAATTTCGTTATCGAAGATTTTTTTTTATTTTCTTATTTAATTTTATGCTATTTTATAGTCTTTTTCTCATTTCGCTTCCCCTTCCTCTATTTGGTAGGGAGTACTTCTTCAGTAAAGTTAATTGAATGAAACATAACCCTATGTATGAAATGGGAAAATCGACTATTTTTCTTAAAAAATTGGTAAATTTGCAAATTTGGACCCGTTACAATAACTTCCTACTGGGAAGTTGATAAGACTCAAAATTAACTTTCAAAGCTCATATTTTTGAGTAAAAAATTGTACCTCATGCAGAGTCGAGTTAGTTTTATACAATTTATGATCTGTAATATTTCGTACTTTAGAGTGGAATGATAATGAATTTTATAAAGACTAGCGGTTTTTAAGATACGACTTTGAATATTGAGTATCAAGCCTCTCGGGTAGTTGTCGTTCATTTAAGAACATGGCAGTAATAAATAATTAATTCGACTCCAGTATATTTCGAGGGATAAAAATTCTTATCAATTAAGGATAGAACTGACATATAAAAATTATACTTTTTCAAGCATCATCGCAAAAAGCTTCAAGGTCGGCGGTTGGATTTTGATTGCAAACGGAGACGACAAGCTAAAGGTTTGTTTTATACATTACATACATTTTATACATTTCGAAGATTTAAAAACCCGATAAAAGAGGATTCAATAGAATTATATACGATCACATACAGTTTTATGTGATAGTTTTGTATAGAATTGTATCTAAAAAATGAGATGATAGAATCGTATACGAATGTACAGAATTTTATCAAATTTTATACAATTGTATTAAACGACATAACCGATAAAAAGCAATGATATAGAATCCTATATGTTTTCATAAAATTCTATCTATTTTCTAAAGAAAGTAACATTTCATACAGTCATAAATGCATTTATAAAGATGTATATAGTTGCATACAATAAACCCCTGCGCTTTTCTGTAAATCTTAAAAAGTAATTTCTGAATTGTCTATTAGAAATCCTTATTATATCTACCAATAGAAGTCGATGAAAATTAATAAAAAAAATTTTGTTCATCAGAAATTTCATGGTATCCCGGAAAAAAATTTTCGTATATGATCATGTATGGGAAATTGGCCTTACATGGTTCATGTATAAAACGTATATGATTTTATATGGAACTTATAAGATTATATATGCCACATATATGACGATATATGTTACTTTTTTTGGCTATATATGTTACGTATACGATCTTATATGTTTCATTCACAATCTATAGAAAATAGTACATGTGTCATATAAGATTATAAATGATCCATATGTGAACCATATAAGGCGAATTCCCCATATACGATCATATTAGAAAATTTCTTCCTGGTTATAAATATAGTCATATAAGAGTGTATGTTGTTGTATAAGATTTCATACAATGTGTCGTATATACTTGTGTACAGTTTCATATAACTGTATAAAATTTTCTAAAAGTATATAAACATTTTGTATATAATTGTATCCAATTTTACAAAATTCGATAAAATTCTATCCAATAATTTTTTATCGGGTAATCAGAACACAAACAAAAAAAAAATTGTTATACACGAGAAAAATAATCACAGTAATATTGCTGGAATTCTAGAAAACATTACTAAGATCTCTTTCACTTACATGGATTACTGAAGAGTCGAGGAAAATTGAATAAAATTCCGATTAAGCGTCTCCTCCGATTCGGGCCAAAATTTTTTTACGAGTTTACATCAATTAGTGATGAATTTTCCCCAAGGGATTTTTGGCACAAATGCCCCATAAATTTTTTATGGGGGTTTATAGATTTTACCATACTAGCTATTCATTCATTGGGATCACTCCCAAGAAGAGTGAAATTCAAGAAATATGTTCAGTATTTTTATTCAAACCATCCCGATAGCATAGTTTAATAGCCTTTAATAATTCTATGAAAAGATCACGTTTTAATAACTTACATCGACAACGTCACAGAAATTCACACATAAAATCACTGTGAGATTCTTTCCAAACTCCCCCTCGTGACAATCAGCTACTGTAATAGTATGCTTATATTTGCTTTTTGAACGAAAAATAAATGTCCCACAGATGAGACCGTTATCGTTACGTCCCATAATTTTCTTATGCTTAAGACAGTACCGACTTGATGGTATCAACCCAAGGTCTCTAACCCACTGCAAGGTAATAGCTTTATCAGTAGAGATAGTAGCTATTTTAAGTAAATTGTAAAAATCATCCATTAGTATTAAAGTAATAAAATTTCATGAAAAGTAGTTTATCAATCACACTTATATTGATCTCTGAATCAATTAAACATACGACAAAATCTTGAGGATTCGCCATCTATTGTCTGCTCTTAGAGACTAAACACGGTGAGAGATACTATAACACTGGTAAAGACCATTCTACAATTTTTATTCTGCCCATAAAAATGATATGGTGCATTTGCGCCAAAAATCCCTTAAGGGTTTTTCATGTGAGTTAATATTCGAGGTTTACAATAAATTCTAGTAAAATAAACGTGATTTGGAAGTAATTTTTACGAATATCGCTAATATTTTAACTAAATGATTCAGAAATACATTTTTTCGAAGCCATGAGTTATTTATTTGAATGTTCAAGAAATATTATAGTCGCCAAATTCCTTACGTTTAGAATCGTAGCGGTTTACGAATATAATAGAAAAACTTAATCAACGTAAATAGCCCCAATAATAAAAAAAAAATTTCATTAAATTTTACGCATGTCATACACCAATGTTACGTATATAAAGTTTGAAGATTGGAGAGAACGTTGATGTAAATCTAGTAAAGAATATTCTATAAATCGAGTCAATGGGAGGCCTAAATCACTATTTCAGGCAAAAAAAATAAAACAAATGTAAAAATGTGCATAAGGACTTTATAAACACCAGAAAAATCAGGGTCCTGAATAAGGGAGAACCCTTGCAAAATAATTTCACTAGTGTGCAAAAGTGGCTTGTTCACGAGTATCTCGAAAACGATTAGAAATGTAAGAAAAAAATTTCGTACTCGAACGATTTTTTTATTTTTCTCATCGCTTATTCATTGGGTGCATTTCAAAAGACTGTGAAACAAAGAATTTTTAAAAAAATCGCTTTGTTATTAAAAAAATTTTTTTCTAAAAAATGAACACATCATAGCCTTTCACTATTACTCCTACAATATTTTCCGAAGTTTCTTCTTCTTTTAGATTTTAGATAGTTAATCTTTTGATTTATTTATTTTTAGTTTTTTTGTTATAACGAAAAAAACTGCTCAACCGAATTCGTTCCAATTCCTTTCAGATCTTCTTTATAATAACATCTTTCGAATAAATTTTTAATTGAAGTTGATATCTCAATCCGTTCTTGAGATATCGAAAACGAAAAAATGCTGACATACGCACATACGTCCATACATACGGACACACACACATCATCTTAAAAATTGGTCAGTACGTTGCAAATATCATGAAACGTGGAGATATGATGAAAATTCGAATTCCACCAATCGACCCAATTTCAATAACTCCCTAATGAGGAGTAAAAAAACATTTTTTATTATTTATTGATTTTTCGAATAAAGTTATGTTACCACGTCGATTCCGCGATATCGTAGGTTTTTATTTTTTTCTTTTAAATCAATATTATTCAATCCGGACTTCTTATTGGACCACGATGAGTATGGGTACGTGTAGGAGAATAGACTTTAGAGTATTGCGATAGTTTCAGTAGCAAAAGCATCTAACGCGCACACTTGGGGGTTCTAGAGTCGAGTCCTGGTTAGAAGAAAAAATTCCTTTTTCCCGGAAAAATGTGCCAATACAAAACTGTGTAGATAGAGTGAGGTGAGTCGGGGGAGAGAGGGGAGAAATTGGAAAATTACCAAGACAAGTAAGTGAAATCCGCCAAAAATAGCTATCGTCTGATGTCTGTAGATGAAAACAGCACTACGTCACTTTTGTTTGAAAGTCCGATATTTTCAAATTGTTCTACATGCGAAAAATGTTTAAAATCATAAAATTGCGCCAAGTCTGACTTGCCATAATCGCAAAACTATAAAATTGTTACTATCAATCGTTTATTAAAAAATTTAATCTATTTCTAAGGTAGGTATGATACAGGCTGAGCACAGTGCAGTCCTTGGAATGTTACCTGATTTTATGGCCAAAGTAGAGGCTAGCTGCAAAGATGTGACGAATCTCAAACGTGAGAATGCTGAACTCAGGTTCATACTAGTGCGTTTAACATCACGTGTTGACAAATTGGAAACATGTGAAATATCTGCTGCCTGCCTTTCATCATACTCCTTCTTTGTCGTCTCCTTCCTCAGCTCTAGCTGCAGCTACTCAGGCAAACACTACTCATCTTCAGCACCTCATCAAACAGGCTATCAACACGGAGCTAGTGATATCAGGCTTTTCAGATAGTAATTCACTTACTAATCCTCAGCCTCTAGTAATGGCAGTGTTTGATGTCCTTAAACTACCCGTTCCTTCTGGCAAGATCGTTGAATCGAGGTTTATGCGAAGATCATCTGCTAGTTCTACGCCTCAAGGTATTGCTACAAACTCTGCCCAATCTCTGTTTTCGTCTTCTTCTGCTGCGCTTTCTACAGCTCTACCTCAACTGGTGCTATCAGAAAGCCATCCAAGTCTAAGACGTTTCAATTACTTGGAAGAGCTAAAGCTACTCTAAAGCAGATTGGCTTTGAATTTGTTCGGACCAACAACTCGAGTGTCTGCGCCAAATTTAAAAGTGGGGACATTACACATTTCATCATTAGCCATAATGACATTGCTAGGTTGGTAACGATCTACTTATCATCTACCAGTGACTAACTCATATAACTCCACCCTAACCTACTCTTCATGTCTTGTCTAGAAAATGTCTAGGAAACCTCTCGAAACGCAACCAGATCAACAATATCTAGCAGTTCTTAGATGACCATTATCTACCTCTACATTGCATTACATTGAAATGTGACGGTGTATGATATCTTTTAATGTATTTATTTTGAGAGCATTGTTAAATAGGCTATTTTTTATATCGTTATTAATTTTTATTTCTTAATTATTGTAAATTGTTGAGTTATGAATTTTTAAAGTCCTAGAAATCGTGCTCTGGGACCAGATCGAACAAGTTGATGCTCTCAAAAATTATTCTGGGACATTAAATATTATTTTTTAATAAATTTTAGCGCTCTAAATTGTTTAATAGGCAGAATGCTTAATTTCTTTATTTCGAATTATCCTGGATGTTTCGTTAATATATTTAAAGATTTTTTGAGAAAAAACTTGAATTTTACGGTACATTTTACTATTATTTCGTGCATTAAGAATCAAATATCAGTCAAACTTCATGACGGCATTATTATAAATGTCAAATTAATAGATTTAAAATACCTAAGCAAAAAAAAACTCAATTTTCGTAGTGATTCAAATTATCTCCAGAAACGCGCTAGTAAATTTCGAATGGTAAAATGTTGAGTAGAAGTCCATCTCGTGCGCATACTCTTGCGCAGCTGACATCTGGTCCTCGAGTTGAGAACTCTAGCGCTGGGTAGTGGAATAATGTTTTTGAGGGTCAAGACCGAACTTCGACCGTATGCATAGTAAGATAGGGAGTCGGATAGGGCTGCTCTAGATCAAAGATTCCGATATAACATGATCGTGGTTTTAGTATAGTAACAGCGCGCTCACCGAGCGCGCTTACAATTTCTAGTTCTATTTATCGTACGTGGTAAGAAACTGTTTTTTCGCAATAGAACAGAATTTCCGTTGAAAATACTTATTATTATCATAAAAAAAAGAGTTTGTTTATAATTATGCTATGTTGTTAGCAACTTTTTTTAGCAAAAGAAAGAATTTCTCAAAAGTGAGGCGTGACATGACACAAATAACGAGCAGTTTCATTACGAATTTCTGACCCAGTTATTCATATATAGTAGCGCACAGAAAGTTAGAAATAGTCGAAATACTCGTGAACAAGCCACTTTTGCACACTAGTGAAATTATTTTGCAAGGGTTCCCTCTTATTCAGGACCCCGATTCTCTGGACATTTGTTTAGAAATCTAACTTATACTTTCGTGATTATGTCCACGTATAACATCCAAAAAATGAGACGTTAGTTTTTTCACAATAAGAACTTCGATATTCGAATTATTTTTAAAATAAAGAATTCTACAAAGATTTTAGCACAATTATGTCTAGTTTTCCGAAACTATTGACTCAAAATTTTATTTTTCACCCAGGGTCATGTGGAAATAACGTGATATTTTATCAAAACTGTATCGATACTTAAAAAATAAATATCACGAAATTTCTTAATATAAAAAACGAATTAAATATCAAAGAGGAGTCTCTATCGTAAAAAAATTAAGGCCGCTACTTTGTTAAGTTCAATAATCCGCCAATCGATTAGAATCCACATGAATAAGATTGAAGAGTTTATCTGTGATATCAAGGATATTGTCCTAAATTAAGCTCAAAGAATAATTCTGACAGTATTTTTCAGAATTTCTATTTGTCTTTCTGAAGTAATCTCTGAAACGATTACACTAATTCCGATGAAACTTTGCGAACATTAAGAGAAGGATGTTTGGAGTGACATGACTATTTTTTTTTATTATTGATTGTTGATAACAATTATGGTCGTTTATCGGATACAATTACCAACAAATGTGCATCGATTTTTAAAATCGAATATCGTTCACAACAATTCACTTTCAAAAGATTCTAGAAATTTTTCGGAAGTTAAGAAAATTTTTAACCATTTCTTAAATTTTTCCAACCTTAAAAAAATCTAATGAGATTTTCATTCATTCTAGAACACTTATAATGTTGTTGAATAATTAAAAAAAAATCTTTAATATTTTTCAACTTTTTTTTTTAAACTTTTGGAACAATTCAACAAATTTTACAGACATTCCAGAACATTATTTCAATCATTTATCATCTTTCTACTGCAATACTTATCCCATTAACTAGAGTCAAAAAATAAGACCTGACTTGGAATCTCTTTCTTTGATGTCGGAATATGCTGTTAGAATAAGATCTGATTTGGAAAATGTGAACTTAGTTTGGACAAAGCTACTAAGTCGAAAACAGTTTTCAATTTTTAAGAGGAGTATAAGATCTGTTTTTGACCTAATTTTAATTGTAAATAACAATTTATGACAAATATATATTTATTTTAACATGAAATTTGAGATAGCCGAGTAGCCACGCGGGTTAAGGCACAACTCTTAGAACCAGCAGTTAATTTGATAGATCTTCTGAATAATCTAAATACAGCATGGATAAAATAATATACCAATAAATATTTCTTTCTAAATGATTAATAATTTTAATTGAGTTTTAATCATTTTTAAATTGAAACCAAATGTTATTTGGCTCAGACAGTTGACAAAGCGCAATGTACATTTATACATACAAATCCATTGTCATGGAAAGAAAGACATATATTTAAGTCGAAATCAGCTTTTAAAAATTTCTAGACCTGGTTTGGACTTGGGAAACAAGACTTGATTTTAGATTAATTATTGCGTATGTAGCTCCAAATCGGGTTAAGAAAATTTTCAGTTTTTATCTGCTTTTGACTTTTTTTTAAAGTCAAAATCAGATCATATTTTTCGACTCTAGAAGTGCCTACTTTATTTTAATGCACATTTGTTTATAATTATACTTTGGTAATTTTAATTTTAACTAGTGATTTTGCTCTTCATTCTAAAATTAACAATTTTTTTACTGTTTATAAATATTATAATTATTTCAATCGTAAAAATAAAAGTAGTCTATGTCACTTCTGACATCATCTTCATTATGTTTGCAAAATATTGTTGGAGTCGGTTCAGTCGTTATCAACATAACTCTCGACCGACAAATGGATTGATAATTGTAAAAATTATTCTTCAAGTTTTAATAGTGTGCGAATATCCCTTGACTTTGCTTAAAATAAGACAATTCTTTTAATATCACAAACAGATACTGTTATCGATAAAGATTAGTGGACTATAAGATACAGCATAAAATTATAGTTACTAGGCCAATCTTCATATAAATTTCAATGACTAATTTTGCCTCAAATCCAATAAAATCCAAATTTCCAGTAAAAAAACGTATTAGATATAGTTGGTATTTGTGATTATACACACGTACCGTTGCGTACAGGTATTCATATTTCAGATGAAGAAGTTCGACAAGCGGAAGAAAAATTTGCTGAAAGTTTACACTTAGCTCAAATGGGAATGTTCAACCTCCTTGAAAATGATGTAAGTACTTACAATATCCCGATTCAAAATATAGTTACTTGTTCAAGTTCTTTTATTTCTTTCGAAATCCTCTGTGACATTGGAATTTTTTTTTTTTTTTTATTATAATCTTTTTGACATTTTATATTCTAAGTTTGCTCAATATTAAATCCAATAAACAATCTAGAGTTCTTTAATAATTTAGAATGTGCATAAATTGACATCAAACATATTTTGTGCATGCTATTCCAATATGTTTGTAAAATACAGGATTCGCCAAGTGAAATCTTTTAAAGAGTTAAAAATATTGAAAAATTTTACAAAAATCTCAACTGAGATTTGAGTTATTAACAATATTACTTAAAAGTATACGGAGAGAATTTTTTCACTAAATGGAAGTGCGAAAATGACAAGCCCACGTTTTGAAATTTAGAAATAAAAATATTTCTGTTCAACAGTGGATTTTTGATTGCCGTAAGTATGCTTGAGACTAAAAGGTGCCTTAGTAAAAGAATTACTTACGACAACTTACAAAATTAACTGTTGAACAGGAATATTTTTATTTCTAAATTTCGAATCGTGGACTTGTCACTTTTTGCGCTTACATTTAGTGAAAAAATTCCCTCTGTGTATGAATCTAAAATCTATATACATATATCTATGAATACATATAAATCTAATCAGAGTGTCATTTAGGGACATTTCTTAAGTGCAAGGTATTATATGAGGACACGACATTGCCACGTTGTGATAAATTTATTTATTTATTATTTTTTTTTTTTTGAAAAAAAAGGTGAAAATGAGGGCAAAAGTACATTGTAATTGCATACGCTGTACTTGCAGAGTTTTTGTTTTTTCTTTAACCGTGCGGCCGAAGGCGGGAATTTTGAAAATCGAGAGGGGGATACCAGTCCCCAAATAATACATAAGATGGATTTATATAGATAAATCTAGAATCTAGACCTGAAATTTCACATAGTTATACCTTTCTCGACCAAGACACACACTAAGAACGGATTTTGACTCAATCGTATCCAAAATACTTTTTTCTCCGATCATTGATAATATATCAATACTAGCTGATATCCACCTATCGCTATCGTAACAGTTTCTATGTGCAACATTTGTCACAGTAACCGTTGCTATAATATCCGTTGCTGTGGTAAACATTTTCATATTAACTTTTATTTATGAAAAAGAATTAGTGACAAAAAGAGTGGCGACATATTTTTGTATTTTTCTAAAAAATTTCTGAATTTGTTAGCATCAGGAGAATAAAATAAGAAGTATCAATGGGCTTATAAATAACTTTAGAAAGCGTCTCATAGTAAATCTAATAGTCAATGAACGATTATAGTTGATATTTTGTAAATTCTAGAGGTAGAAGTTTGATCAAAATATTACGTAGGTACCCAGTGAACACATGACTTTAATGTGACGTCATTTATAAGTCATAGGAACGTTACAATATTTTACGTAAATTTAATGTAAAAATGACCTCTCTTGTGATCAAAGTATGATGTAAAAATTTGTGATATAATTTTGATGTTATACTGATGAAAGTTTATGACTTTCCTATGATATGACACTGATATAAAATTTAACTCTTACATGATGTCATGTTTATGACTTAAATGTTACATACATAATATAAAATATGTACATGATGCTGTGACATCACATCAATGTCATAAACTTACATATTATTTACGTAGGAAGTAAATTATACAGTTACATAAATAAAAAGTCCTTGTCCTGGGTGATATAATAATGTCATCACATTAATTTTATATTTGCAAAAGGGAACAACCATTACCATTACTCAATATAGACTTACACGGGAAATGAAAATGATGTTTTCATCATGTTAAATTATAATTAGACATAACCGATTATTACATAAAAAATATACGAAGGTTTTTAACAATGTCTAATTGATCTTAGTAAAATATAATATTTCAGGATGCTGTATATCTATTTAATGGTTATTTACTAAGTTTAATGTTTAATAAGAATTGTTATTATTTATTATTAGCTCTAATTCAATTGTTGGATTAATAACCCAACACTTTATTAACATAGAGTACGAAAAAAGATTTAAGTCCAACATCGTACGGGGGTATGGAAGTTAGCACTTAACACCTTCAAAGTCAAGCAACATTTATTGCGAGGAATACTTGGATGGGTGACCACTTGGGAACACCAAAAAAAAACGTAACGTCGCAGTGAATGATTACTTTTCGTAATCATTCTGAAATTGATTTGAAGAACCTGGAAATAGTTTTTATTTTTAACCTGAATTAATGCTGAACAGACAGATTTTTGGAATACATTTTTAAACCCAAAATAATTGTGAATTCATTTGACATTATAATGATATAATTTTTATATCAGCTTGACATCAGGTCAGTCACAGTGACGTTACTTGGAGGTCATATTTACGTCAGAGTCTGACGTCAGGAAGTATGAAATAATGACTCACATGTGAGTCATCTGTGACTTACAACTTACGTCAAACCTGACTTTGTATGATGTCATAATTACGTAATTGACTTTACTGCGTAATGTAAATAAATCAAGATTATAACATTAGAAAGCTGCATTGTAAAAGATAAACCAAAACTATGTTCTTTGGAGCAAAAATGTATTTTTAACTGTTCTCTAAAGAAATTATTGAACGCAACATGAATAATGCTGGAAAATTTTAATAATTTTCTATGCTACATAAGTGTATTTCACACTATTTTATCAGTCTAGTACGTCAGTTTTTTTTTCTAAAAATAAAAAGTTCAACACGAACATATTTTATTGAATTAGTGAAAAATATGATGATATTTTAATAGAATATTATTTAAGGCAAGACTTATAATTTATGACAACTTTAATTATTCTCGAAATTCGCGGAATCAATAAACTACAAAGTCACATAGTACACAATTCCTCTAATGTACATATAGAGAAGTAATGAGATATCAGTTACATTACATACAATAAGAACTATATTATAATTTTATGTTTATCGTCAACAAAAAATTAAGCAATTTATTAACATCTAGGTTCCACAATCAAATTTCATCTTGAGCTTAGCAGAGCGAGTGGGTGACAGCTATTACATTATATATCCAATATTTCACCTTCAATTTTTTCATACATAGTTCGATACATGCAGATGCAAATTTCATCTGAATATTAAAGTTAAATGAAAATTTTCTTTAAACATTACATTCAAATCTAGATGTTATAAATACTTTTTGGCTGTCATTATTTACGTTTCTTAAAAACTCTAAAAAAAATTATTAATGCCCCGCCATCCATTAAGAGAGCAGCATCTCCCGGACTGCCAAACACTCAACGCCACCTGATAGTCATGAAACACAAACTTAGACTCCATGACACTAATCCCAACAACCACGCACGTGTGACCAGTCGCATCTATTTCCAATCGTTCAATTATTTCATGTTCTCAAGTCATTTTTCACGTTTGGATGTGAATTTTCAAGTTTATCCGACACTGAGGAAAGTATTGTGCACTCTTGTGGTCAGTCAACAATCTTCTGGTGTTCAAAAACACTCATATAATAACTCTCAGCCTGTTGCCGTGACAAGCACGTGCATCAGACATCAAAATTAGTGTTAGTGAACACCGCTTGAGTGAAGATAAATAGTATCTTTCCCTCATCACTGATCTTCATCCTCATCATTGCTGCATTGTGAGAGACTTATAACCTCTCACGTACCCAGACAGGACACCTCAAATGCCTTCAAGCCGTCATTAATTGTGACCAGTGCATTGTGTGCTACCTGGAAATACACCCTGCTTAAACAATCCTATTGGGAGAAGGGAGTTCAATAGGAAAATTGCATCGGAAATTTCCTATTAAATCCTATTGAACGTATGCGTAATTTTCGATGCTCTAAAATTTTACAATGTTGATAATTATGATGCTTTGATGGCAAAATAAGGAACATTATATAAAGTGCTTTGTACCAGATGCAAAAACTGCACTTAGAGCTGAATGTATTGTTTGTGATAAAAGAATGATTACTAATATTGAAGTCATTGACAAGTATGCAAGCTCTTAAGCACATATCGATAAAAGTCAGGATGTATTGAATTAAAATCAGAAGTCTATTTATTCGTACATTCATCAATCTGGAAAAAATGACGCCTGAAGTCAATTTGTTAATATATTCTTTGTCCAAGCTTTATGTATTGTTGTTAGGTCTGTATATAAAGAAATTATTACATTTTTCGAATAATTTTTTTTTTCTTTTGTAGAAAAAATTTCTAGAAGAAGGACAAGTTTTTGTCAAGGGTGTATTAGATTTTTCTGTGACTGGTTGTCCGGAAATCTAGAAAAGGTTGATTAATCTCCTTTAAACCCATCAAACCCTTAATGCAATCATTACCTCATGTAGTACGTGAAACTGAATATCAGAATAGGATAAATGAAGTTAACAACTTTGGGCACAATTTGTATCATTGTGATAACGATGATTAAATATATTTTTAAATTGAAAATTTATCTATTCGCTTTGAATGCAATTTCACTTCATCTTTCCAATGTAGAATGTGAAAGGATATTCAGTAAAATAAATTTAATCAAAACAAAGACTAAAAATATCAGTGCTCTGCAGTGGTCTGTGTGCGACCCGAAAGGTCCACACGACCAACTTCCCAGTGGAAAAAATAAAAAAACAATTTGAATAGAACCCGTTTCCATTTTTTATAACAAATGGAATTGTTATAAACGAAATGAGTCTGTTTTTATTCATTTGATATGGTTAGTTACTTCATTTGAGTAAAAGAAAAAATTGTGCGTTAGAAGAATTCAAATATACCTCATAGATCCTTTTTTTCATTATTTACAACAAATTTCATTGTTATACACGAAAAAAGTATGTTTTCATTTATGGCATACGGTTGGTAACATTTTTTTAGTAAACGGAAAAATTATGCGTTAAAAGTACTCATATATATAGAAAGGGTCCCTATTTTTATAATTTATAACAATTTAAAACTTATTTTTTAAATATTACTATGATCAATAATCACTTGTTAGTAACAATGTTCAATTGTTATGAACACAATTCCATATTATTGACAATTATTATGAACTATTATAGCGTCTTTAATGCTGTTTTCACAATCCTGACACGAGTTTAAAATTCTTTCATTAATGATATTGTTTTTTAAATTTTTTTTTTTCGATGAAATATTGTCATCATATATCCATACAAGTATTCCAATCATTGTATATTCATATTTCTGCAATGATCTTAAAATTTTGTCTAAAAAATGGTATAATTTATAAATTGCAAAATTCAAGTAATTTCCTTTTTTCAGTTTTTTGATTCTGCCAAAAAAATGGCCCTACCGATTTTCCTGAAAAACTTTTCAGTTCTAAGTTCCGTAATTACGCGTCGAGTGCAGTTGGTCCCACGTCGATATCATTTTTTGTTCTCAAGATAATCGAGGCGAAAAATAATTCCGAACGTACGTACGTACATACGCACATACGCACAAACGCACATACGCACATACGTACATACACACACACAGACGTCCACGTAAAAACTGTCGATTCATTCTAGAAGAGGCTTTCGAATTTATTTATTATTAACTTTTTTTTAGCAAAAGAAAAAATTACGCGTTAGAAGAATTCAAATATATTGCATTGATCTCTATTTCCATTGTTTATAACAGATTTAATTGTTATAAACAAAAAGAATGAGTTTTCATTCATGTCGTACGGTTGGTAACTTTTTTTTAGAAAAATAAAATATTACGCGTTAGAAGAATCCAAATATATTGTATAGATCTCTATTTTCATTGTTTATAACAGATTTAATTGTTATAAACAAAAAGAATGAGTTTCCATTCATGTCGTACGGTTGGTAACTTTTTTTTAGCAAAAGATAAAATTACGCGTTAAAGGAATTCAAATATATTGCATAGATCTCTATTTTTATTGTTTATAACAATTAACAAATTTTTTATTCAAATATTATTATGATCGATAATCATTTGTTATTAACAATGTTCAATCGTTATGAACACAATTTCTTATTATTAACAATAATCATTGACTATTTTATTATCCTCAACGCTATTTTCTCCATCCCAACACAAGTTTAAAATTTCTTTATTGCTGATTTCGTTTTTTAAAAATTTTTTTTCTATGAAATACTGTCATCATATTTCTGTACAATTATTCTAAACATTTGATATTCATATTTTTCAAAAGATCTCGAAATTCCGTCTAAAAAATGGTATAATTTATAAATTGCAGAATTTAAGTAGTTCACTATTTTTTCAGTTTTTTGATTCTGCATAAAAAATGGCTGGACCGATTTTGCTGAAAATCTAATCAGTTCTGAGTTACGTAATTACGCGTCGAGTGCAGTTGGTCCCACGTCGATATCATTTTTTGTTCTCAAGATAATCGAGGCGAAAAATAATTCCGAACGCACGTACGAACATACGCACATATGCACATACGCACATACGAACATACGCACATACGCATATACGCACATACGTACATACACACACACAGACGTCCACGTAAAAACTATCGTATTCAACTCTGGGGACCTTAAAACGTGGAGATATGTCAAAATTAGCGATTCGCAAAATTGGACCCATTACTATAACTTCCCACTGGGATGTTAAAAACAAATTGGTAATATCAAGCATAAATGGATTACTATTAGTTGGTCGAAAAATTGATGAAGACTGTGTGTCATTCGAGCCATTAAATCAAGAATCCAGTAGAATGACAAACAATATTCTTTATATATCATATCATAACAAACAAAAGACAGCAAAGACTTTTACATCTTTTTTCGATGATTTTTCTCATGGCTGTGCAATTCTTTCTCTTGTTGATGAATCTGGTACTAATACTTCAGACACAGAAAATATGCATACGACTATACCAAATAATAAAAAATAGATAAATATTAGTAATAATATTTCTATTTTCTGTAATATTCCTATATTAATGTTGAATAATTAGTTCTGCTATGTTACTGAGATTTCTCCAAGATTTATAAAAATATTTTAATTACTAGGAAAAAAATTCGTTTTATATGAATGGATGAAGGAATTTATACGTTGAATATTAATGAATAAAGTCAAGCAATAGATAAAAAACCTACGTTGTTAATTATTACGCTCTATCATATCAAAATTAAAAGATTAATTGTTATTGCATTATTAAATTTACTAGTAAAGATCCCCAACAGATGATTTTTAATGTTCCGCATTGCATTATAAAAAACAGGATCCACGCCATAAAATGAATTAGAACATATTTTTGAAAAAATTATAAATAACTATTACGCTGCAAAAATGACGATTTAAACTTAATCTTTTTCTTAATACAATTTATCTTTGGCGCCCATAGAGGGGAAGTAAATTGCAAAAAACCTTCCCAATCGCGAATTTTTCAATTTTTAAAGTAGATGTAAAAAAAGTTTGAAATATTGTATAAATAATGATTTCAAACATTTGGGAATCAGAACTTTGAAGTCTCAAAAAAGTATCTGTATTTCGACTCGGGATAGTTAATCAAAGAAAAATTTTTTTTTCTAATGACTAGTAATAATCATGATACTTACCAAATTCATTAAGTTTTTTTTAATGACTATATCTTCTATATTTACGATACAGATCGAACAAGTAGCGCAATTGGCTACTTTCAGTGAAGCACTTCTTGAATATCATCAGCAATGCACAGAAATTCTACGAGGGTTGACTGAAACACTTCTAGAAAAGTGAGTATTATACATAGTATACAATTATATTCCAATCTTTAATTGAAATTCTTTCTAATTATTGTGTATAGAAAAAATGAAGCTGCTAACCGACCGAAAATGGAATTCGTCCCTAAAACATTGGCTGATTTGAATGTTGATGGATTACCGGCAATAGATGGAATGAATGGTAACATATTTTTATAATGCAATGAATACTTCAGAAATATAAAACATGAGTTAATACTAATTTCACTAAATTTACAAGTTTAAATTTTTCTTTCGAAAATTTGTTATAAACAACTACTAATGGGAAGTTCGTCGTGTTAGCACCGACAAAGTGTGCTCAGACCTTTTTTTTCGCCTTGTAATGCGTAGTTTTTGAAATCAATTTCTTAACCTCTTACCGTTTACGTAGAAAAAATGCCGATGCTTACAACAAAGAATTATGACTCTTTTCTGTAAATGATCGAATTTTTTACGAAAACATTGACTGCTTTGGACGTTCTGGTAGAATATATTGTCAGATATAAGTAGATGACAACAAATATTAATGAAGAGAGTTTATTAAAAATAACAGATTCAAATACAAAATCTTAAATATGACATCTAATCAGAACTAGTCTCAGTCCTAAACTGGAGATAAACAGACTCTCCCCTCGTTGCTATAAACAATCTAATCGTCAAGCAATCGTCGTCAACTAACCAACTGTCGTTAGTCAATCAATTCATCAATGGAGACATGCATATATTTTACAATGTTTTTGATCATTTTATTGATTAACTATAAAGTACGTAAATATGATTTGATTTAGAAGAAAAATCTTAGTGCTGTCCTGTGGTCCAGGTGCGACCCGAAAAGTCCACACTACTTACTTTTCGGTAGAAAGAATGATAAGATTTAGCTTTTTTCCAGTTTTTTGATTTTTAAAAAAAATGGTGGGACCGATTTTGCTGAAAACCTAATCAGTTGTAAGTTGCGTAATTATACGTCGGATTGCATTTGACGTATACCGAGTACGGACACAAAGTAATACTGGCAGTGACCGAGAAATACTGACTACTACAGACTGAACAAAACTCTGAAAACTCTGCATTCTAGAATCTTCTAGGTCCTTAAGAAGGGATATCTATGCCTACAAATCAATTAGAGTAGTCTTATCGGCGTAGATAAGTTGGCAGGAGACACTCAAATTCCGTAGAGTATTTGGTGGAGAGAAAAATGTCAGGCTGTAGATACAATACCTCTGACCGGGTCAGAACACAGAATATAGATAAACTACTATTTTTTAACTATTTCATTAGAAAATATGAAGATAAAACGTTTAAAATTACTATTCAATAATACACATTTTATAGTTATTCCATTTATTCATCAGAAAGATGAAAAAAAAATTCATTGACATTGTAAAAGTTTTAAAATCATCAGAAATTTCTTTTTCAAATGAATAAATTGTTATCTTCAAAAAAAAATGCATTACACTTTTTTCATTACGATGTTACCATTACCATAAAAACATTTATCATTCTAATTTTCGTAAGTAGTATATTATATTGATATTATCATGTAATAAAATTCATATTTACCAAACCTAAATGTAAAAAATGTCATATCACATTAATATAATTGTTTAATATGACATTAACGTGAGGCAGATACAACACATGTTATATTACATTGATATAACCATGCAATATAATATCCACATACCACGAACATTACAACTATAAATTTATTCCAAGGTAATTATAAAATGTGTACCTCAAAAATACCATCAAAGGTCAACTCTGACAATTTGTGACTTGTCATTGTACATCTGCATAATAAAAATTATATAACATCGCAATAATAATGTAATATTCTTGTTAGATTGTATAAAAGTAACTACTGTTATATTGATTCATTATGCTCACGTAATATCATGATTACGTTAGCATAACTTGTTATGTATATATTATATAACAGCACGGTTTGATATTTACTGGGTAAATACAAGAAACTTATCCTCTTAGATATCTCTATTAAACAGAATTGTTTCTTCTTGTTTAATAATTATATCCATTCTTTGCAGGAGCAAGTCGAAGTGGATCTCCAGTCTACGGAGACGGAAAGCGTTCTCAACTAGAACTTTTTTCGACTGGAAATCTTCCGCAATCTACTAATGGTAATTAACATCTGAACTATTTAATTTCATTTTTTAGTAGTTTCGTCATTTAAAAATGAATGTGCTTCAGACATTCACACGATTCAAGTAAAACTTCTTTAGCTCTATATATATAAATCTAATCAGAGTGTCACTTGGAGACACTTCTTAAGTACAAGGTATTATTTGAAGACATTTGTATACTTTAGGGACAGTCCCCAAAAAAAATCATGTATCCAACGTATTATTGGAGCCACTGGTCTATGTACAAGGTATTATTTGAGGACACGACGTTGCCACGTTGTGATGAATTTATTTATTTTTTTTTTTTTGAAAAAAAAGGTGAAAATGAGGGCAAAAGTACATTGTAATTGCATACGCTGTACTTGCAGAGTTTTTGTTTTTTCTTTAACCGTGCGGCCGAAGGCGGGAATCGAGATGGGGATACCAGTCCCTTGTTCCCAAATAATACATTAGATGGATATATATATATATATAGCTGATTCCTGTGACTTCGTCCGCGTAATGTGTATAATTACATTACATGGTAATAGATTGATCAAAGAAGAAACAAGTAGTGATTTCGTAGCATCAATAACTGAATTCCAAATATGCTTTGTGATATGATAAAAAAAAAAAGTAATGAATTAGTGAGTATTTTCAATGAACAGAAGAAAAATTGTATTTGATTGTGAGCTTCAATTTCTGTTCGTTTACAACGATTAAAGTGTGATAAAAAAGGTCGTTTCTATTGATGGAACATAGACAGTACCTTTACTTCAAAAAAAAACGGACTAATGCAGAGTATTCAAGTCATTTCTTTTTCTTCGAGGTAAAGGTGCTGTCTATGTTCCATAAATAGAAAATGACTTGAATACTCTGCATTAGTTCTGTTTTCAAATGTTTATGTTATAAATGAGAAGATTTTTTTTAATATCTACATTATATAGTTAGTAGCCCTTTTTCAGTAAAAGAGAAAATTCTGCGTTCGAAGAACTCAAATGTATTGCGTGGATTCCGCTTTTAGAGAAGCTTTAGTCGGTAATACGCACCAGACAGTCCTGAATTTGCAGTTCATGAGACAATGAGCAATCTCTCTAAAGTCAACAACAAGCGATACCTTAATGTCTACCTCAGACATAGAGTCTGGTTCATTTGTCAAGTCCCTTTCTTAATATCTTAAGGCGACTCAATTTATTGATAATTTTCAATCAATTCCACACGAGGTTCATACATGCCCGACCAGCATTCCTTATACAATTTCTGGCGATTTTTTTTCCATTTCCCCACCAAGATTCTCTACTACTATCACATATGCGCTTCACACATATATTTTTATTACTATTATACATTAGTTATTATATACTATATTATATATTATACTATACATTAATTACTATATAAAATTCTCCAATATCGTACAATATGTGTTTTACGCTACTGCTTGATAATTATGATCTATATCTTTGTTGTACTCCTTCTGATCTCTTATCTCTGGATTAGAACAACTTCTGTAGACATCCCAAATATAGTCCTGGCACTTTAATCAATCCTGTTCTTCAATATCTTCTGGGCGTTTTCTGCCCCGGATTTTCTTTAAATTCCGGACGTATTACTTACTTCTTGAAGATACGGGCGGTAACTGATACCGGCTTGACTTGTTCTGCTGGTCAATCAAAGGTGTTCTTATTACGAGGTGAGACGTTTGGTGCCGCTTAATTACTCATTTTCTTGTTGATAAAATGACTAAGAGGGTACAGCTCAATCAGATACCAGTGTCCTATTTCATTGTTTATAACACATTCAATTTTTTTTTTATTAATACAAATTCAATTATTATAAACAAAGAGAATATGTAAATATTTATATTACACAATTAGTAACTTCTTTTCAGAAGAAGAAAATCACACATTGGAAGAACTCAAACATCTTGCACAGATCCCTTTTACATATATCTCCCTCTCAACTACTGTTCCTCTCGCCCGATCACATTTTTCATAACGCTCTCGTCACACATTCACCAGCTCACTCCCCAACTCAAACGTGCGTAAAGAAGATTTACATCAAAAACTTTAGAGCTTTTACAAAATATAACTGTAGCATTAAAAGGTTCATAAAAAAATATGCAATGGATTATATGAATATATGGATAATTGTGAATATATTCCTACGATATTTGTGGTTATAGCATCACCTTTGCCATCACCAAGTAAATCTCCTGCGCGGACTCCAGTGCCAAAACAACCGTGTTGCACAGCTCTATACGACTTTGAACCAGAAAATCCCGGAGAACTCGGATTTAAGGTAAGAGATTGACGATTGTTCAATATTGTAAATTAAAGGAGGAACATCATTATTCAAATCTATAGTATAAGACACAACACCGCCTAAGTCAAAAAATTCCATCTGTTTCACAACTCTTCGATGAAGACTAAATTTGCCGTTAAAAACTCCTGTTTTATTCTGGTTTCAAACCATTCAGAATCTATAAAATAAATTTTTTTATTTTTCTAAATTTCCAAAAAAGCTTTCTAGAAAGAATAGAAAAACTTTTTTTTCCGTAATTGCGTTTTCCACAAATATAGTTGATCATGGTATTCTATCGTTTTTTACCATTAAAACTAGTAGTTATTAACTTGTTCATAACAATCAATATCGTTCACTTACTTTAAAAAATAGTGACATATTGTTTTTTATGGTTTTTCATAGCTATAGATAAAATAATTCTTTACTGCTACTTAAATTGATTTTTAAAATTTCTATATTGTTTATATATATAAAAACCATTTGATAACATATTGTTGTTTTTATCTTTTATTATGTGTAATGTTTACAAAATGATTCGAAAGAGAAAAATTTCAATCGATCACTATTTTACGAAAAAATATGAATATATCAAAAGAGTTAGATAATTCCGGTATTGGAATTCTACGAATATTCATAACTATACATCTTTTTTCATTATTTGTAATTATCACCAAGTCATTTGGGCCGTATGCAAAAGGCTAGAGCTATGTAGTCCCAAATGAGGCAGAACTACGAAAAAAAATTATCCTATATAGGTTAATATAGACTGAAAAATTCAAGATTCTCAACGTTCATTGTCACAAATTATGTAGATAACCGAATTTTACAGAACCTCAATCATTTAAAATCACGGATAACTTACTTTATTGAACCCTATATTTTCATGAATTATGGATTGTTACGAATATTTGTTGTTCCGAAAAATAGTTTTTCAAAAAGATGGGATTCTCACAACTGTCAGTAATAAAGTTCTTTCAAATGAATTTGGTATCATCATGAAAATTTGGAGCAGAGACTAGACAAAAATTTCGTTATATTTGAAAAAAAATAGATTTAATTTTATATAAACTATCTCACTTCGAACTCATCAAAATACCATTAAATTTAAATCATAATAACAATTTTTTCAGCCGTTTTCCCGATTTTTATTTAATTTAAGTCTAGATAAATTTAAAAATTATTTAGAAGCAAATGTACATTTGTAAAAAAATACTTGATTATTTATTTCTAAATACAAGTACAAATATTTAGCTTGGGATTTTCTATCAGAAAATATATTTGTATTAAAACAAATTTGTGGAAAATTATTGTTTTGCTTAATTATAAATTCTGTGAAGTTTAATTGATATAAATCATTATCAAATAGAAAAAATGATCAAAATTGTTGAAAAAGTATTTGCAAAATCCAATAGAATAAAAAAAATTTTGTATTGAAATACAAATAATACATACTTCCATTAAAAAATATTCCAAATATAATTGCAAATACCCTAAAAATATTATAAAAAATCATAAATTATGACTTACACTGAATACTGAATAAATGATTGTAATATAAAAGTGTCTTACCCCAACATTGGACAACAAGCAAGTTTGTCGCTTTCTGCTCATCCAAAATTCTTTGTTTAGATGATTCAATATCCGTAATGATCCAGGCTGCCAATTAGCCTATTAATTCACATTATTATGGTATAATCTTTTTTCATTGAAAGCTAAAAGAATTACACAATTAAGCAAAAATTATTTACAAAGTTGCATCATACATATAGGCATCATACACATTTTTTCGAATTGATAAATCAGTTTGCTCTGGCGGTACTTCTAATGACATTGTAAATTTTTCCAATTGATTGATTTCTTCAGTTGGATGTTTACAAAATGTATATCCATGTATTCCATTGAATGTTTCCATATTCCGTATAGAGAAACGTGCACATATGTCTACACAACATCCCAAGGCAAACGTTTTACTCTTTACTTCTTTTCCTTTGTGAATCCGTGATACCATTCGTTGCTAAATCGTTTACGTCATTGACAAATGGTTTAAAAAACACATTCATGAAAGGCAAAAATGATATATTTTTACGCAATTCCAAAGATAGTGCATTTAGCATGATATAAATAGGCCAGATTGATATTTTATTTAATAACGCAGACTGACATCCATCTGTATTTAATATAAATAATGAATTGGTTTTTTTTCTCTTCTAAGGTATATGAGCTTTCGAACTTTTTATATTCATCGTTATCATAAACATCTCCCAATGCTTCGATATTTTTTTTCTGCTGTCCACCTGATAAAAAATATTATTTTAAATATCTTTATTCTTCAGCAACGTCCGTAATTGTTTCTTGATATTTGTTATAAATAAGCATCGATTATCTCGGGTATTTATTATTATATTACTATTATCACACATTACTCTTCCCATTATATATATCGAGAAGTTTTACAAACGCCAATATGCAATTCACATATATAATGATAAATATGATATGTCCGTGAATTATCGGTTATTGGAAAATATTGGTGGAACAATTAATGTTTTTGAGCAGATATAATGTCGGTGTTGAAAATCTTATTTAGTATTATTAATGTATATATATATATGTAATATATACATATATATTGTAAAATAAGAACAAATAACAACTTTGGAAAATTAATAAATAAAGGAAAAAGTTTATTAAAGATTGACAGCTATTAATTAAATAGAAATAATACGTCCGGTTAATTCAAGTTTTAGTCAAAAACTGGAGATAAACAAACTCTCCCCTCGTTGCTATAAACAATCTAATCGTCAAGCAATCGTCGTTAACTAACAAACTGTCGTTAGTCTAATAGTCATTAGATGGCGACATACAAATATTTAACAATATATATGTAATTTTAATTACATGCCCACTCTTGAGCTTATGCAATTTCTTTGCTTACATGTATACCTTACTTTTTTTTTATACATCTTTATCTACAGTTAACTATATTCTCTTCTACATTCTTAATATAAATACATATTTCTACGACCACCTCCCCTCTAAGCATCTTACTTTTTCTCGCAGCTCACCCTCACGCAAACCACTCGCCCACTTTCTTATATAGTCACTAACTTCACTTGTTTGTAGATCAGCTGCTCTGTCGCATATCAGTAAGTACTCCAACGTTCCCATCTCTTAATTACACAGCCTACATGTCCACTCGGTAAAGCCTTTTTTATATGCACGCCCTACACACCCACATCTCATTCTGGCCCATATCTCCTTCCATTTTTTATGATGATTACTCGCTACCTTAAGGTACTTTGCCCCATCATCCTCCGGAACCAGTTCTTTATATAACATACTGAAGCTTGAACTTATGATCAGCCTTTTGACTTCTTCTTTATGACGTGACTTCAACTTCTCAAGCTTGTCTATCATCAAGTCATGTATTTGATTACCATCACTTTTATTTCATATCATTTGGCAGACTTCAGTGGCTTCAATGTCCTCCAGCACGTTCCACACACATTTACCCTACTGTGACGGTTTATTATTCAACACTCCTCTCATCTCTTCAATTAAGCAGATCTTAGGCCATCTATGATTGTCTTGTAACATAATGTCTCTTATGTATCTAATAGCTCTTTCCCTTATTGTAATTTCCATTGATTCAGTACCTAACTCATTTTTCCATAGATAACTAGGGGTGTTTCTAGAAACTCCCAGCGCCATTTTACAGTATCTCGCCTACACTTTACACGTTTCCGTAACCTTACCCCAGCCCCAAATCTCCACATCATATAATGCACCAGCTCTTATTAATGAACTCAGTAGATATATTCTTTTTTTGAGTCTGTCTCTTCCTGCTCTTTTTAATAAACTCCAGACCACGTTGGTGGCTTTCTGAACTTTGCCTGCGGTTGCCTCTAAATGTTTACTATAAGAGTTTCTCGTTGTTAGCCATACTCCTAAATACCTAAATTCATTCACAATTTTAATTTCATCTCCGTTTAGAATCCAGCGCTCATTTGCTCTTTTTATCCCTCCGTTGCGAAATATCATAATTTTGGTCTTTTTAGTGTTGATTACCAACTTATTCATTTTCACGTATCATTCCAAGACGGCTATCATTTCTCTCAACTCATTATTTGATTCAGCTACTACAGCTATATCATCTGCGTACTTTAATACTCTTATCTTAATTTTTCCAATCGCAGAACCTCCAATACCTCTTTTCTTCCACTCATCATTTATATCATCTATAAAAATATCAAACAGGGTTGAGCTTAACGCACAGCCCTGTCTGACTCCTTGATTTGTGACAAATTCCTCAGTGACTCTGCTGCCTACCTTGACCTCAGCTGTCGTTGTATAGATGTTTCTTACCATTCGGTGCATTTTACCCCTAACACCCAAATTCCACGTCTTCATCAACATAAGTTTCCTGTTCACTTTGTCGAATGCTGCTTTAAAATCAATAAATAACACATACAACTTCCCTCTTTTGATTTTCAACCTGTTACTAATCAGAGAATTTAATGCAAAGACATGCTCCCTCGTACCTCTACCTCTTCTGAAGCCAGCTTGGCTCTCTTTCATCTATCTATCTTCAACATTTAGCAGCTTTTTAAAGTGCTTATGCCATTGAACACCACTAATGCTTTTCGGGACTGGACTAACTTTCTTTTTTCTGAATTTATTTATTGCTCTCCACCAGTCTGACATATTTGTTGCATTATTAATCTCGTCCCATCTGTCTTTTTTCCACTTTATTTTTTCCTTTCTGATGACTGATCTGAGCTTGTGTTCGATCTTATTCAACTCCTTTTTATTTTCACTGCATCTATTTTTTAGCCAGACCTTTAACTTACGCTTTAATTATCTTTGCCTTATTTGCAGCATACCACACTGCGCTCTTAATGTCACACCACATTGTAGGATTGCCCTCACTGATTGTCTCACTTAGTTTTTCTTTTGTGGCTTCGTTGAAGACCTCAATTCCTTCTTTTTTCCACACT